AGGAAGGAAGGAAGGAAGGAAGGAAGGAAGAAAGAAAGAAAGAAAGAAAGAAAGAAAGAAAGAAAGAAAGAAAGAAAGAAAGAAAGAAAGAAAGGAAGGAAGAAAGAAAGGGAGAAAGAAAGGGAGAAAGAAAGGGAGAAAAAAAAGAAAGGAAAGAAACCAGAGACTGAACCTCATTTCCAAAGTATTTACTATTGCAGGTCTGTGCTGGGAAACACAAAAACCTATTGTTTAGTGCTCATTTAGAGAGGCTGATATTTGAATGACCAGCTATGATTAATGCAAAAACTTAAAAGATGCGACATGATTGTTTCTGGTTGCTCTTTAGCAAGATGGGCATGTTTATAAGACATTGCTTATTAAATAAAGAATTTAGGACTAATCTTCAGCATGCTCTTAATTCTAATTTAGTGATGACTCCAGTTCTTTGAACAAAAATGAAGTGCTATTGGGGCTGGAGAGATGGCTCAGAGGTCAAGAGCACTGGCTGCTCTTCCAGAGGTACTGAGTTCAATTCCCAGTGACCACATGGTAGCTCACAACCATCTATAGTGGGGTCTAACACCCTCTTCTGGCATAAAGGCGTATATGCAGATAGAGCACTCATACATAAAAATAAATAAATAAACAAATAATTAAATCTTTTAAAAAAATGTTCCTTGGTCTCCAATTTTTGTCAACTGGGATAACTACTAATATCTATGGGGAGATCAAGGTCCTGATCACAGGCTGGAGAAATGGCTCAGTGGTTAAGAGCACTGGCTGCTCTTCCAGAGGTCCTGAGTTCAATTCCCAGCAACCACATGGTGGCTCACAACCACTTGTAATGAGATCTGGTGCCCTCTTCTGGCCTGCAGGGACACATGCAGGCAGAATACTGTATACATAATAAATAAATAAATAAATAAATAAATCTTTGGGAAACAAAACAAAAACAAGGTCCTGATCACATCATACAATGGACAAGGATAGACTGGACAACAGTTAGTTTTTAGTGCATACATTTTAGACTTTTTAAATTAAATTTTTTGCCATTTTTCTAATATCATAAATGAATTTTCCCCTAAATTTTACATCTTGATTTTGTATTGCTAGCATATAATAATGATAGAAACAAATGATATAGCAGTGGAAAAAACTAAAGCTGAGTTGATTCTGTAACAAAGTGAAAGTGATGTTGATGTATTTGTGTGACAGAAACCTGGTGGCTAGTAACATTTCTTCTTCTGTCTTAGGATCAGTTTATGTGTGGAGAAACAGTCCCAGCACCTTCAGGCAACAAAGAGTTAGTTAAATGCTGAAGAAGCCCCCAGGAACCCAAATCCTGAGCAGCAGGGAAGGAGCCCAGGTGGATGGATCAAGTGCTGAATAGACAAGCTCTTCACAGGACAGCTGTCTGTGGCTGGCTCTTCCATGTGGATCTTCATCAGCCACCGAATTCATCATAAACACACAAGCCTGTGACGTGTCAGACCTGGATTTCCTGTTCCCACGGAATTGGAAGGATTCCTAATTCTCCATCTGAGTTTGAAGGAAGAGCTGTATAAACTGGTGCTTTTCCTTTCTCTCAGTTGCATCATTTCAGTATCTTAAAACTAATTTATTTTCTGAAAACAGCATCGTCCACTTCAATCCTGAGGCTCTTTACTTTATAAAGATTTATTATTTTATTTTTAGTTATATGTATGTGTGCATTTGTGTGGGGGTATGTGCTTATGAGTACAGTTGCCCAGGAAGGCTAGATGAACTGGATCTCCTGGAGCAGGAGTCACGGGCAGTTGTGAGCCACCCGACATGGGTGCTAGGACCCAAACTTGGATTCTTTGAAAGCACTATGTGTTCCCCAACCTCTCTCTCCATCTCTCCAGCCTGAGAGGGTGTTTATTTTAAATGATTACATTTTGACACAGTTGCTGAGATGATTCAGATGAGGCCTTTCTCTGTCATTTGCTTTGTTGGAAATTTAAGGAAATCTGTGCCTCTCCTGGTGCTGCACTCTGGCTCCTTTGCTAGCCAGTCACTCTGACCTTGTTGTGATTTCATTGTTCATGTTCTCAGTCATTTGTTACTCTTCCTTCAAAGAGTTCAGTGTGGTATTGCATTGTGAGGCCATGGTTTCTCTGTAGCTTCCAATTAGTGACTAAGGAAGGAAAAACCAGAGTGAAATGGTAAAAGAAACAGCTCCTGATACTTTGTGCTTTGCTGTGGATATTTGTATGCTGTGAATGTTTTGCTCTGATTGGTTAATAAATAAAGTGCTGATTGGCCAGTAGCCAGGCAGGAAGTATAGGCGGGACAAAGAGAGAGGAGAATTCTGGGAACAGGAGGGCTGAATCAGGAGATGCTGCCAGCTGCCACCATGAGAAGCAAGACCTGAAGGCAGAACTGGGAAAAGGTACCAAGCCACGTGGCTAAACATAAATAAGAATTATGTGTTAATTTAAGTGTAAGGGCTAGTCAGTAATAAGCTTGAGCTAATGGCCATACAGTTTGTAAATAATATAAGCTTCTGTGTGTTTACTTCGGTCCAAGCGGCTGCAAGACTGGCGGGTGAGAGAGATTTGTCCTGACCATGGGCCAGGCAGGACCAGGAAAAGTCTAGCTACAGTGCATCCCTTATGTCAGAACAGGATGAAAAAAAAAAAAAAATAGCCAATGGAAATAAAACTGGCATCAGTGAGAGGTGTGAAGTCTGCCAGCTTGGCAAATGAAAGTATATGAGTAAGTTTGCCAGGTTGGAACAAGTATCTCTGTGTCTGGGCCTGTATTTCATGAAATGACTGAAGGGATTGCATTTCAGACATGGGTTGGGTTGAGTCTTCATAGGGCAGTGGTTATAACATCACAGCCTGTGTCACACCTAGTCCTAATAAGTGACAACCCCACAACAGAGGATGAGCTTGAAAATATGAGCTGGCTCTAAACAGACATGTCCATGAGGGCACACCTAATAAACCTGCACATAACGGGTGTCCAAATCAGATGTGCACTCCTGTTAAGGGATACTTCTCTTGAAAAGCTTGTGAAACTTGGCTATTCAGATGTGACTGGAGTCCCAGACATTTCCAGAGCACCTCTGAGAACTGGTAAGTGGACCAGCTCTGTCTCATGAGCTCTGTAGTCTTTACCAGGGCATATAGATTCCTCATTTGTGCCATTAGGAGACAGGATCAGAAGATCCCTCAGCTGTCAGCTCATTTCTGATATGGCTTCTTGCCAGCACTAAAACCTTTATAAACTCAAAACTAATATGAATCACAGCCAATGGGAACTCCATTTATCTTCCATAACATTATCATACTGCAGTGTGAAAAGTTTTAAGTCAGTTCTTCAAAGGATTCTGTATATATGTTCACATATGCATTCAGATACAACAAAAAAATCTTTTTAGAACTGTATGTATTAATTCATTAGAATGACTTGCATTTCCAAGCAAATTCATGTTTTCATGAAGTTCTTATTCCTCCAAATACCAAAATTTTACATTAAAGGTTTTTGGTGTCATGATTTTACATGAGATAGAACTCCTAACTTTGGGCCATTATAAGTAGATTTCTAGTATGGATGTTGTAGTGATTAAAGTCTGGGTTGGGTTTTGAGGTTCCTGGCCTCTTCAAGGAACTGAAATAAAGACTCAAACATTGTAAAAGTACCAAGGAAACTTACTTTAAAGAGAAGGCTGATTAGAAAGGAGGCCACATGGGGGAACATACCTAAGGGCTCTAAGTTATTGTTGGGGCTTCTTTTCATGGGGTCTAAGTAGGAGTTGGCTTATGAGGGATGTAGTTTGGATGGTTCTCTATTTTGACTGACAGACTAAAGTATATAACACACTGTGCCTGTCCATAAAATGCATCTGATTTTAATTAGTACACTGAATGCTCTGTAGACATAAGATAGTCATAATAGGGGATTATCCCTGAAAATTCACTTGGAGGACAGTTTGTTTATTGTGCACTCAAAACTAGTTCAAGCCAGGTTGGCCTTGTTGCAGGGTAGAGACCAAAAGACCACTCGCAGTGTCTGAAGTGAGAATTGAGAGTGTGCATTAACCCAGCTGTCAACTGCCTGGAGAGAAACATTTCTCCCAGAACAGCATTGAATGCATTTTACAGGGAGCTTTTAAAGGCAAAGAACACAAGAAAACTACATCCTGGTTGGCAGGGTGAAGGAAAGTAAGCAAGCAGTTAGCTGGGACGTTTGGAGCCACATTTCCAGAACAGGGTTGGTACTTTCCCAAGGGACTTTTCGTAACAGGAATAGAAGGGGGATCAGGGTTTCTATTGCTGTGAAGAGATACCACGATGACGGCAACTCTTATAAAGGGAAAACATTTCATTGTGATGGCTCACAACATTTCAGAGGTTCAGTCAATTATCATGGTGGGACATGGTAGCATGCAGGCAGACATGATACTGAGAGGTAACTGAAAGTTATTGTGGGGATTTATTAAGGCAACTCCACATAGTTAAAAAGGAGGTTTATTTTGGGGGGTAACTCACAGCCAGTAAGGGGTTGGTTACAGGATCCAGGAGAGGTGAGGCGCAGTCCAGCTGGGTTCTCTGGAGAACTCCACTCAGTCTACCATCCAGCATCCAGGATTACCAGGAACCAAGAGTGCCGGCACATCCAGATCTTGGGTCTTAAGGGCTCCTGTCTCGGCTCCACCTCAGGAACAGGTCATAGGTTGGCATGACAGTTACCAGAAGCCTCACTGGGGGTAGTACTTCCAAGTCAAAGCTGGAACAGCAACCCACTACATCTCCCCCTTTTGTCTAAATAAGAAAGTTCTGCCGGGCGGTGGTGGCGCACGCCTTTAATCCCAGCGCTTGGGAGGTAGAGCCAGGTGGATCTCTGTGAGTTCGAGGCCAACCTGGGCTACCAAGTGAGTCCCAGGAAAGGCGCAAAGCTACACAGAGAAACCCTGTCTCGAAAAACCAAAAAAAAAAAACCAAAAAAAAAAAAGAAAGTTCTAACCTAATACAAAACTATATACAATAGGATTTATTATTAAATGTTGTCCAGGAGGAATAAGGGATAATGACCTAGACAAGATGGAACTACAACCAATGCGAACAATATCAAGCAAGACACATACTAAAATCCAGAGAAGTCTAGAGCATAGGTAAATGGCACATTACAAGGGTCATTCCAAAAGGTGTGCTATCCTAGAGAACCTAAATCTAATACTTAATATGTTCTAGCTAAGATACAAGAAGATTGTAACTATAACTGTTAGTCTTCAATCCCATCAAAGACCTGAGAAGGAATATAATAATACCCAAGAAATGGGAGAAGGATGCAAGCAACTTTCGGGAGTCTTTCGAGAGTAGACAGAGACAGCTGGCAGCCTGGACAGTCACTTAAAGTTTCTCAGCATCGCTGGTGCATTCAAATTGGCTACAGGCCTAGAGTATCGGTCAGACCATTTTTACTGTCAGCAATCAAGGTAGGGGCAGTTCTTTGTCCAGTAGGCCATTTTGTGCCAAGGTGAAGACAAACTTCCAAATGGAAATGTCTCATAAGCCCAACATTCTCTCGGGATCAGATCGGTGCTGCCAGGAGCAATCATGTCTTATGTCATCAGAATTCCAAGTTATAAAAACATTTAAATGCAATATTCTCCAGGTCTACAAAGTGTTTGAAATCACCTATTCATCTGACATATGTTTCTGTAAGTCTGGAGAACCTAACTAACATAACTATAGAGATGACAAGCATAGGTGACTATAAATTTGTAAGTCTTATCTATCTAGATAACCTAAGAACTAAGGCTTCACCTAAACAGGATAAACAGTCTGTAAGCAAATGTACAGTAAAAGGACAATGACCTCAAAATTGTGACAATACACAAAATAGCTAAAGCAGAGGTAGGAATGTATAGTGCAATATGCAATATGACAATAATCCTAACTATGTATCAATATACCAAATATCCTAAAGAGGTAGGACATACATACAGTATGATAAATATAATTTTACATTTTATCAATATACAAAGCATTTTAAATAAGAGTAGAAATTATATGTATATTACAAAAAATATGTTTCTGTATTTGTATCAATATACAAATTATCAGGAATGAGAATATAAAAACAGTTTACATTTGTATCAATATACAAGAATCCATAAGAGTGCAATTTATCTAAGGCTGATATTTTACTAAACTAATACTAGTATATACAATAATCTACCTTAATATCCTATACCTATCCATTCCCACTTTTTTTTTTCTTTTCTTAAGGGGAATACTGAGGCCAATGTTTTCTTCTACCCCCAACCCTATAAACATTATCCATAACCCTCAGAAACATGAAACCTTTGGGGAAAAGGGGTGGTGTTTTCTTAGAATTGCTTCCTGCTGTTCAGGAGGCGATGGTATCTATGTGGGGTCCTGTAAGAAAGCTCAAATAGTTAAGTCTCAGTTGGACTAACTGTAGATTCTGCAGCCAGTCTCAGAGTAATGGGTAAGATTGTCTGAGATCCTGGCTAGAAGTGTAGTATGATGATGAGTACCATGGCATCATTCTGGACTGAGGGGAGTTGTGGGGCCCCATCTTCCTTCTGGAGACTTCAGAGATTGCTATTGGAAAAACTTATTTTTTACTGTGAAAAACTTGAACATTATTAATATCAAAATGGGAAGTTTGGATTTAAAGATGACATGACATGTAAGAAAGGACTCCGAGAAATCAAGAATAAGCATGGAGAGAATTAGAATCTTGAAGACAAAGATCCCTTTTTATTGGTTGTTTTCTGTCCCACACCAGACGGCTCTTCTGATATGAGACAGAAGAATCTCGCAACATTTTATTTTAGCAATATGCTTGGGTTTAGAGAAGGAGTGAGCCAATTCCAACTCCAAAGTCAGTTTGGTATATAATTAAATCGGAACCACAACTCTTCTAGATTTAAAGAGATATAGATGTTAGGCAGTGAGATATTAACCTGTGTATATTGGTACCAATAGATTCTTTCTTTCTGCTGTAGATGTCTGGATATTCAAGGCCTTATGATTACTAGAAGATGGGTATTTCTATTATCCTGGAAAGACAAAAATAGAACCCTACCCCAACACTTGTTTGTTAAATTTTTCTTACAATTTGTAGAGATGTCACATTGGTGGATGAGCTTTTACTTCTCCTCATCAAGGGGTTTCTCCTGTTTGAATCTAATTTTTATTAATTTTGTTGGTATCCATAGCTTTTCTTCTCCTGCAGAAAGAAAAGCAAAACCCCTTCCCCAACATAGGATGTATCCTGGTTTCCATTCTGAGGTCAACACATCTTTGAAATAAACTGGTTGGTTTAGCTCAGGAGTTTTGTCTGTCATCCAATGTCTCTCTGCAGCTGTTGTTCCTTTCTCGTCAGCATTGAGAAAATTCAGGGTTAATTAAAGCATTATGCAATCTATTTCTAGAAGTCATTGTTACCTCTCTCTTTATTTATCATATTCTTTAAAGTTAGATTGGATCTCTCTATGACTGCTTGGCCTGTGGGATCATGTGGTATACCTGTAACATGCTCTATATTGTAATAAGCAAAACCTATCTCATTTTATTGGAGGCATATGCTGAGGCATTGTTGGTCTTAATTTGTACAGGTATTCACATGATGGCCATAACTTCTAATAGGTATGTAATCACAGAATCAGCCTTTTCAGAACTTATAGGAATTGTCCACTGAAATCCTGAATAGGTGTCAATGGTATGGTATAAATACTTTAATCTTCCAAATTCTGTGAAATGAAACACATCCATCTGTCAAATTTCATTTCTTTGCATACCTTTTAGATTGCTCCCTGCAGGTAATGGAGTTTGGTTATAGAAGGAACAAGTAGGACTTTTTTTTCCCCCACTTGCCAAGTGATGGAGAAATCCTTCTTCAAACCTCTGCTATTTACATGGCATTTCTTATGAAATTCTGAGGCTTCTAGCATGTTACCTATTAGTAACTAATCAATCTCATCGTTACCTTGTGCTAGAGGTCCTGGCAGACCTGTATGGGATCTGATATATGTTATATATATATAGAATGTTCCCTATTTCTGATGATTTCCTGCAATTGTATGAATAATGAAGTTAATTCTGTATTATCAGGAATAAATTCAGCAGTTTCAATATGTAAAACAACTCTCTCTGCATATTGAGAGTCAGTGACTATATTGAGGGGTTCTGTGAAGTCCATCAGTACCATAAGAATGGCATACAGTTCTGCCTTTTGTACAGAGTTATATGGACTTTGTACCACTTTACTTAAGTCTCCTGATTTATATCCTGCTTTCCCTGATTTATTTGCATCAGTATAGAATGTGATGACTCCAGAAATTAGCTTTTGCCATACAATGTGAGGAAGAACCCATTCAATCATCTTTATGAATTCTATTCCCTTGCTTTTGGGATAGTGATTGTTAATCTCTCCCAAAAAGTCACTGCAGGCTCTCTGCCAGTATTCATAATCTTTCCATAGTGAGGAAATTTCCTCATTAGTTAAAAGCACTACAGTTTCTGC